GGGAAGCCGGGGGCAGAGCAGCCCCAATGGTTCAGCTGCCCGGAGCACTTCCGGGTTCCTGATGGTGCAGGACCATCAGGAGTGCCGGACCATCAGATGCCGGACCAATGGAGTTTTACTGTATATACTGGCATCTGTGCACCTTACAGGGTTAAGTTGGGACACTCAAGTTCTCAATAAAGAGGCTGAATACCATGCTATATAAGTTACATGGGTTCTTCTGATATAGAGAGAATATTGTGTGTATCTATACCTATAGAGAGAGAAACCAAGTTTCTCATCTTTTAATAAGTGAGATAACTTTTCAAGATTGCTACCCTTTCAAATTTCTGAAAGTTAACTTTAAATTACTAAACACAACAGATTCTTGTAATATACCCACTACCAGCAATGAAGATCACACACAGACTTGCTCACAAATTAGCAGCAGCACAGCCTACTCAGTGTCCAGAAAGAACGACAATGGTCAACATTGATCCATTCAACCAAGGATGATTTCAGTGTCTTATAGTCACAATATGGCACTAAAAACAAAAAAGTTGGCTTTGCCACCTCCTCATGGAAACATTCTTTTAACTAACTAAAAGTGTGTCAAATAACTCTCCTCCCAATGCTTTCAAAATACACTGACTGTGCCTAAAGGGGAAAACTGCACAATATGATTAGCTGTAAAGGGGGATTTTGAATTATGAGCAGGTCATGATAACACCTTGTTAAAGCTTCTATTTAATAGCTGGCCAAGTAGCACTACTGACAAGTCATGGATACACCTACAAATTCAGAGGAAGATCATCAGCTGATGACTTTAGTGGAACTATGGGAGTTTACACTGGCTGAGGATGTGCCCCCCAGATTCTAAGTTTACCCCAAAATTAAAGCTAAAGAGGAGAGAGAAACCAGGTTATTCTGTGAAATTGCAGTGAATGTTGCAATGGGCCTTGCGGGAGTAGGAAAGATTAATAAAAATGTGGCAAAATGAGATTTGGATGAGAAGACAAATTGAGAATCTCCTCATGGTAATAAAAGAGCAGAGGGGAACAAAATGTAACCAAGAGACCCATATTTGGAGACACAGAATAACCCACAGATGTAATGGGCCCTCAACAATCCTAAAATTAACATAATCTTTCATGGAGATAAATGCAGATCCATAGTTGACTAGTACATAGGAGCTACATGGAAATGTCTATTCCATAAAGAAAAAGAAACTCAGTTAATAGGATATAGTACAGTGTAAAAAACTTGTCAAAATGAAATAGTTAAAATACAGTGTCGCTAGAAGATAGGAAGCAGATTTACCAAGGGAAAAAGGGAGAGAGAGAAAGAAGAGGGGGAAGGGAAGAAATGAGCAGGAAAAGAACAGAAGAGGCAAAGGGGAGAGTTAGCTGTAGATAGATAAGAGAAAGTCAGGATACACACACACACGCATGCATGTACAAAAGCCCCCTTCAATCTGACAAGGAAGAAAATGGGTTCCTGTGAAGTCTCACTGTATATGGGAGAGAAGTTTCAGTGACACAGGGTCTAAATTTCCCTGGCCCATAAGAAAAGTCATGGTTAATGCTGAGCGGACCAGGTGCTACCATATAGGAGTGGGTGGCTGAGGATGGGACTGTGCAGGGCGAAGGCATGGATGCACTGCATTGCAATGTTTCCTCCATCAGTGATAGCAAGTAAGTTAAAGTTGTGCTTATCCACTTTACCCTTTCCATCATGCGTCTCCTCCTACCATTGCATCTCTTTGGAATGCATTCTGGGGAACACTGGAGATTCAGGAAGCCATGTTTACACAGAGTTTAGGGAGATGGGGCTGAGCGGGGAGTGGGGGAAGGCAACAAGGAATCACCGGCCTGTCCCACAGATGGTCCTGCCTCTGTTGGTTTAGGGGGCTAAATTCCAGCAAGGAAACAAGCTGGTTGTTCACTGTGAATTTGAGTATGAGCTCAAATTCACAGTGAATCCACAGTCTCTGTGTGGAAATGACCAATCTGGGGGGGGTAATTATAGATCTCAGGGAAGAGAGCCAAACAGAGAAGGAAAAATAACAGAGATTAAAAATAAAGCAGGACAAATACAAATATGAAGAGAAAAACTGAGAAATACAGAACTGAAGGCACATATCATGACCAAACAAGAGACACATCAACGTCCCATGAAACACAATTACTCTCCCCTCGCTTTTTTCCTCTCCCTCATGCATATTACATTTTTCTTTCCATTTCATTTTCAAAATAAAATGCCATTTTGCTGGGACTGGCTCACTTGAGTTCTTGCTTCAGTCTGAACTAAGAGCAGCCTATGAAACAAGCCTCTAAACTGAGCAGACTGAAAATCTGTCTTACATGTTTGAAGTTCCTAAATGGCACAAACTGGACAATGTCTCGAAGAACAGGCTCGCCTTTGGGGGACCTCAGGATCCCGTCATCACCATCCAGCATCTGCATATCGCTGAAATCGGCGTTTCCAACCCCAACGATGATAACTGACATAGGCAGGTGAGAGGCATGAACGATAGCCTCCCGGGTGTCAGCCATGTCTGTGATCACACCGTCTGTCAGAATCAGTAAGATGAAATATTGCTGTGGGTTTGGAAAGGAGAGAAGAGCAGGGGAAAACATCATTGGTTACCTTAACATTTATCTGTATCTTCCTCGCTTTTTCTAATACACGTTTATGGCAAATATAAACCATGGCTTTAGACAAAGTCCATTTACAAAAAAGAAATTACTTTAAATGTTTTCAGAGGTAGGCTGCAACCCATAGGAATCAACCTCCATTGTGGTGACCTCTAGATTATTTTCAGGTGTTTTTTAACTAGAGTTTGGCTAATTTCCAGGAGGTGGGGGAAGCCATAAGAAATACTATATTGAGGAGAATAGTGGATTCCTGGCTGCTAGGAACATAGGGTATGTCTACACTACCTCGCTAGTTCGAACTAGCGGGGTAATGTAGGCATACCGCACTTGCAAATGAAGCCCGGGATTTGAATTTCCCGGGCTTCATTTGCATAAGCGGGGAGCCGCCATTTTTAAAACCCCGCTGGTTCGAACCCCGTGCAGTGCGGCAACACAGGGCACGAACTAGGTAGTTCGAACTAGGCTTCCTAGTTTGCAAGTGCAGTATGCCTACATTACCCTCCTAGTTTGAACTAGGAGGGTAGTATAGACATACCCATAGTGTGTGTCAGGACTTTTGCTTGGTGTGTTGACTGGTCTGGCTCCCCCCGGGTTTGTGATCCCTGCGTGATTCACTTTTTTTCTACTGAAAGTCAGAAGAGAGGTGAAGACAAGTGCTGAATTCCAGCATCTGAAGCTGGAGAAGAACTGCAACAGAGATCACAACCGCTCTGTTTAGGGAGCCAACATTGCTGTCAGGCAGGTGGGGAGGGTGCAGCTTTCTGCCCAGCAGAAGATGGCTTACCCTCTCTTGGGATCCATGGAAAGGAGTCCAAGTTTGTCCAAGAGCTTGAGAGGGGCTCCTCAGGACAGGACATATGAGATGACAGTGGAGAATGAGGAACATTTTCAAATCCACTGCCAAACCCTGAGGAGAGGGTTAGTTATTCTCAGGTTTCTAAAAGAGATTAAGCATTTTGGCGTATCTGTCAATTCCCTTCTCTACTCGTGAGTTACACTGAACTAGATGAAATAGGACATGAGGCATTCATTTGATGATGAGGAAGAATGACTATCACTTTGGCCCTACTAGACAGTGGGGCAGCTGGAGAGCACTTTATGAATGAACTTTAGAAGGAAACTAATTCCTGAAAGGGAATAGTAGAATTGAAGCATGTTTCATGTGGGAACAAAGCAGAGAAACTTCATACAGTTAAAGTTTATCTGTAATTGTATCCATATATAAAATGTACACACACGTTCATTGCTTCTCATGTGTGAGTACCAAAACACATGGAGATTTTTTTCCCTTTAAAGACTCATACTGGAAATTTAAACATTTTTTTTCTTTTCTTTTCTATATAAACATGAAATAATAGATCTTAGGAGCTGAATGCACGAAATGTAGCCCAGAATGCTCTATAGTTTGGTCAGCAGCCATCCTCTCAACCTGCACATCATAAGTATGGAGCTTGTGATTAGACTTACTTTTTAATTAAAATGGAATACAATATTATAATAACAATACTATTTATTACACATGTACTATTTTTCATCCATTGCCCCTTAACACAGCTGGTTAAGCATTAATATCCTCATTTTAAAGATGAGGAAACCAAAGTACAGAGAGGGGAAGTAATTTGCTTAATGTCACACACAAAATCAGTGAGAGAACTGAGAAGAGAGCCCAGGTCTTTAGACTCTCAGCGTAATGTTCTGGAACTAGATGGACTCCACCCAATGGAATTAGGGGGGCCAGTGGTCCTGATAATATTGAGATGGTCCTCATACTAGGGGCAACAAGTAGTCCTGTGGCACCTTGAAGACCACGAAAAAAAATAGTATCATGGGCTTTCATGGGCAAAACTGACTTCTTCAGATGAGATGAGCGTGAGCTCAAGTATATATGGGTAGTGCCTTATGTATGCAATTATACTGCCCCTATCTCCTCTCCCTATTCCCCCAGAAAAAGTGTATCCCAGTTTTTCATACTTGCTATCTGATCATCCTAAGAGGATTTTTTAAAGAAGTCTAGTCCCTAATGACTATACCATGCCATAATTCATGCATATTCCCTTGCATTAAACAATGCTATTTAAAACAGCGTTATGTGGAGAATATTGCAGCAATATACGAGATAGAAGAAGAAAACTCTGAGCAAGCCTTAGCCGAAGTGATGACAATGGTGCCATTGTACAGATCTGTTCTGATATGACATATAGTGCAGTCATTTCCTCCTCAGAGGCATGCAAGAATTTCATTGCTCTCTGACTCCCACATCAATGCTATTTTTGCACATTTTTTCACAGCCAATTGCATATGAGGCTTCACTGGGCTAACACATTTTCCCTCCCTCATTTTGAGTCCTGATGGACCGAGGGACAATAAGTACAACACATTTCAACCACATTTAAAATAAATTCTGTACTTGGGTCTTTCAGCTGAAAGAAACTGTCATGGGGCTTATCACAAATGGAGGTTTACAGACCTGTTTTACTATTGTTAAAAGCAACAAAATATTTCACGAGGGGAAAGGCCAATGGAATGGTTGGATAGAATGCCATGGTAACAGAGAGGCTTACAGTATGGGCTCTGTGACACGGCCATTTTTTTAACCTTTTGCCTTATCATATTCAGGGGCCTACCCCTAATGCTTTGCACTTTATACTATCATTTAAATGTATGCAAAGTGAACACAAAATGCTGCCATCTCAGTTTTGTAGCATTTTGCACTGAGGTCAGTTCCAATCTTTCCCAATTTGACATCAAACCACAATTTACTTTATATCAGATGGGGGAAAACAAGTTTTAGAACTGAGTTTGGGAATGTTTATCACAGGAAGTGTCAAGTACAGGCCCTATGTGACCCTGGCTCTATTTGTCTTATGTGAAGATGTTTATGGAGGCTGCTAAGATATAGCAGCATTGAGAAATTATTCATCTATATTAAAATGACCCAGATCATGACTGCCTAGCAAAGATCCAATATACAGGAAGTCAAACAGATCCTAGCATAGCTAGCAACTTGCCCCTATTCTTACCGATGCCTCCTTGGTGTTGGTCTCCTCCGAGGCTGAATTAGCCACCTTCTGGATGATAGGAGCAATGTTTGTTGGCCCATAAAGCTGTAGCTTAGGGAGGCAGTTCTGATACGCTTCAACAACTCCTTGTATCCCTTATATAAAAATCAGTAAGCAGAGAATATTAAGAAGCAATGTAACAAGGAGCACATCAGTGGTACCATGTTTAATTTGCAAACAAAAGACCCTTTTGATCATGTTTTAAAATTATCTGGGCAATTCTAGCACATCAATCAATTTATTCTGTACAGTTGTGAATTTGCAAGATTGTTCCAAAGAAACTATGGCCAGCTGTCCTGACCCCCTTTAGCTGTTTTATAATGTATAATTCATTACCTTGCTCTTCTGCTTACTGACAGTATTTAGCATACATTTTTCAGGGATTAGTGGTACTGTGTTGGAGTAGCACGTACAATTGGCAAATGCATTAGATTCATTGTTTTCTCTGCAGAAGTTAAGAGATCACTTGGGCACCAGTGAATGTTCATACTTTAGGAATATAGACTTTAATTAGGAAAAGATGATACCCCTTTGATAACTCTCTCTTTTTAGAGAAAGATTTACTTCTGCTTCATCGAAGTAGCTACAGGCTTCCCTTCTGTTAATACATTTGCCAAGAAATCTGAAAATTTCCCCGGTGCAATGGAAAATATTTTTCAGGGTAAATTTGAATAATGGGTCTCACCAGTTAAATTTCAATCTGAGCAAAAAATATAAAAGTAAACAAAAAGACACTCTGCTGTCTATCGCAAAATGCACTTCAGTCACTAGGTCTTGATGAAGAATGAACCATTTTTGGACATTGTGTCACCCTTCTTTCATCTCTGGGAAGCAGGAACCTAGGCAGACCAAGGTTGTATTTACAGATACTGTATAAAGAATGGAACTCAAGAATTGGTATTTTTAGCTTTTTTTTTCCTGAGGGGGGAAAAAAAGGAATTTCCTGGTGTGTTAATGCCAAGTGTAGTAATTTCAAAATTTAGAACTCCCAACACACCAGGCTAGAAAGTTGTTAGTAAGAAAGTGAAGGACTGAAGAACTTCGAAGAAGGTTGCTGAACAGTGACATTAATGAAACAAGATCCTACACTGATCTTGTTTCTAAGAGGAGCTCTCAATGGACTTTGAGGAAACTGACCTAATAGACTATCCTAACAACACAAAGTAGACTGTAATTACATTGTACAACTACTATGGAGACTATAACTTTGATCTTTAGATCTACTGAGTTTATTTTCTCTGCCACCTTCAGTAGTAATAAATTGAAAGAATGCTTTTTAATTCTCGCTGTGATTAGCTGTTTAGACTGTAAGCCTACTGCTGTATATTACAAACTTTTCATCAGTAACTCCAGAGAGGATAATTAGATAGTGTAAGACATAGCAAGGAAGAATTCCTTTGTCTTGGATGTCCCTTTGCTTTACACCTGGTGTTAAACTGGATGAGGATCCAGTCTTGATTTAGTTATTGTCTCTTCCACTAAGGCCTACAAAACTTTATTCAAATAAAAATACAAAACACAATTTTGTGTGTGTGTGTGTATATATATATATATATATATATATATTCACAAAAAGATCTTGAAATTCACAAAAATAAATTCTCTCCAATGTAAATTAGTAATAGGTTTCTCAGAACCAAATAGGGGAGCATATTATATAAATATACCTTTTTAAAAGCATATATCCTTAGCAATACTCATCAGAAAATATTTAGTCTCCTAGCATATTATAATAAAATGCTTTTTTTGGCCCAAAGTCTATTGCAACTTGGATGGTTTGTCATCTTTGGACATCCCTTTGTTTTTCGGATTGCCTTATCACCCTACCTATAACTTTGTTCACAGTGTAATTCATTAATATTTGCAATACAGTTTGAGTTCCTTGGATAAAGTAAGCTATTTAAATGCAAAGAGTATGTTTGTATCTCTATTCACAAACCAAGCAAAGATTATAGCTCAGATTGCAGACTCAACAATCTCCCATTTGTCTTTTTCCAACAAGAAATAGCATGTGAGCTCAGAGAAAACATTTGAATTTAAATGCCTAGATTATTTAAAGTTCTCAGAAACAAAGTTTCTCTCAAAAAAGTGACTCCATAAAAATGTCATCACAGGGCTCAGTGTTTATTGTTTGCTCCAATGATTTCCATATCAAATGCGTTCAGTTTATGAATAACTTTTTATTTAACTGCCAGCCTGCAAACTCACTGTGAAATCAAAGAATCAAGCTGGGTTTCTCAAGCATGACTTCCAATGATAGAAATTCTGGGGGCCAAATAGTGCTCTCTGATACAGCTGTGCATCCTTAAGAGTTTTCAGTGGTTTTAATGGGTTTGCAAAGGTGTAGCTGATTGGAATTTGGTAAGAAATTCTGTTCACGTATAACTAAGAAAACAATCCAATTCCTACTGTCTTAGCTGTGTTATCAGAAAGTGCTAATGGGAGTAAAAAATAATAGATATTATTTTAGCTGTTGACTTGATAAGTAAGGAGATACCATCTTTACAAAGTCACTTTTCAGAACAGAATGACGTGTCAACTTTTATCATGGTGTCAGTTGTTCCCTAGTGGCCAGTGACAGTTTGCTACTCACACGCAAAATGGGATTTCATTTTTACCTCTAAACTCAACCAGTACATTAAAGTGAATCAGAAGAATGCTTTTTCATGATAGGAATCATCAATCTGTTGGTCTGCACCAAGAAGCATTAGGCTAGAATTTGTTATCACACTAGCTGTACTACATGTAGGTTTTGTAAGTATAAAAGAAAATATAGGCTGTGTCTAGACTGGCCAGTTTTTCCGGAAAATCAGCCACTTTTCCGGAAAAACTTGCCAGCTGTCTACTCTGGCCGCTTGAATTTCCGCAAAAGCACTGACTTCCTACTGTAAGAAATCAGTGCTTTTTTCGGAAATACTATGCTGCTCCCGTTCGGGCAAAAGTCCCTTTTGCGCAAAACTTTTGCACAAAAGGGCCAGTGTAGACAGCTGAGATTTGTTTTCCGCAAAAAAGCCCCGATTGCGAAAATAGGTTGGCCATGGACACTTTTCCGCAAAAAGTGCTTTTGCAGAAAAGCATCCATGCCTAGCTAGACGCTCTTTTCCAAAAATGCTTTTAACAGAAAACTTTTCCGTTAAAAGCATTTCCAGAAAATCATGCCAGTCTAGACACAGCCATACAGTATTAGGAAAAAATAGGGCTCTTAAACTCTTTATTTGAACCTTTTTTCCCTCCAAGAGCACACTCTTGTCAAAGAGTATAGTTGAGTTCTGTTAGTGTTCGAGAAGCTTAAAGACAGATTACAGAACAATTGGCTCAGGAATTAATCAAGAGTCGGTGTCAGGCAATGGGAGTTGCAACAAATAATTAAATGGGGTGCTTTGTGGCCTGTCTCTCTCTGTTTCATTCAACTGGACATCACTTTAAATGGTACCAAGTAAAATTGAATAATAGGAGTACCTAGATCTTATATATCAATTTCCATTAATAGATCGCAATGTCATTTACAAAGGAGACAAGTATCATTATATAGTTATATTATAAACGGTGAAAGTGGAACAGAGGCAAATGGAGGGACTTGCCCCAAATCATGTATTAGGCCAATGGCCAAGTAGGACTAGAATCCGAATGTTCTTGAAAAGCCCCTTTGAGATTTTTTTTATTGTAGTTTTAAATTCTCCCTCTGATATTCCCATACTGTGCTATGTCTCCCTATGCTCTATCCCTGCACTTTAAGGCCATGTCTACACTAGGAAACTACTAAATTTGACATAGGAACTCCCGATTTAACAAATTCAGTCTAGCATGTTCTCACTATGGGGGAAGCATTGAAATCAGTCCAAGGTAGGTTCCGTTAATGTGGAGGTACTACCTCAGACTCAGAGCTCCAGGAAGCACTTTGGGGAGCTGCAGGAGGTCTCCCGAAGGCCGATAAGTTTGAATTAGTGACACCAGAGCATCCACACTAACATTTTTTCTAAATTACTATTTTGGAATTAGCGTTACTCCTTTTGAAAAGCAGGAGTACAGAGTTCGATTCCATGGCCCGTTTTTTAGAAATAATGGGCTTGGTAGTGCTTATAAATTTGAACTTGGGAGGAGAGGGGGAGTATTTTGGAATAAAGTCCTGATGTAGACCAGGGCTAAATGTTAGTTAATCAGATGACTGAGTCTTAAATACAGGACATAATAAGTAAAATGAACAACAAAAAATAACAAAATAAGCAAGCCAATGATTAAGTTCAAACCAAAATTATGCAAAAACAAGAGGAGTCCTGTGGCACCTTAAAGGCTAACAGATTTATTTGGATAAAACCCACTTCATCAGATGCATGAGTTTAAGGGCACTATTTTTTCTAATACAATTTATTTATTTTTACACCATGCATCTGACAAAGTGGTTTTTGCCCATGAAAGCTTATGTCCAAATAAATCTGTTAGTCTTTAATGTGCCACAGGACTCGTCGTTGTTTTTACAGATACAGACTAACACGGCAACCTCTTTGAGGCTGCTGATTTTGGGTGACTCAGTTTTTGTGTGTCCAACCAGACATACTTTAAAAAAAGTCTGATTTTCAATGGACAGATGCAAAGCACTTTCTAAAAATCAGGCCCCTTTACAGCATTTCATGTTGGACATTACCCAGATTCCTAAAACCACTAGCCACTTTGCAGATGGCAGAAGTACACCAATCTGCTTTCCTTCACGCAAGTGTTACCTGCACATTCTGGGTTGTCTTCATTGAAATTGATTGCAAAATCATGCGAGACCTACACATTGACAAAAAGAAACAAAGAATAAGACTTATGTTCAGAAAAATGATTCTAAATTGTCTTTCATATCTCAAACACTCATTACACTTGTTCTGTGTTAAACTACAGGAACCTTAAAACTTGGAGCCCATCAATGTGAAATGCAGAGTGAGCTGGAACTCCCCGCAGAGCTGAAGGAACAGGAAAATGTGCAGGAATCAAAGTAATATCCTCTGACCAAAACAAACACACCCCTCCCCTCCAATAAACAAACAAACAAACAAACAAACAAACAAAAAGAGACTATAAAAAGCCCTTCAGAAATGGCACTGCCAACATCTGTGACTAAAGAATGGCCTAGATTTGAGGACATATTAAGAGACATGCTTTCTCCAGTTCAAAGATGAGAGTTAAAGACGGTCATGCTACACTGTAAAATGATTGTTAAAATAACGTTGGGTCTCTGGTAAAGCCCTCATCCATGCTGATGAGCAGTTACTCACATGAAACCAATGAGATTATGGGGTGGGAGTGTAACTGCTTCCCAGTGTGAATGAGAAAATCACAGTCTGGTCTATTATGAAGAAAAAAAAATTAAAAATAAACAAACTAAGACAGATGGGTGCTTATTATTTGAACTAAGGGTAGGGAAATTAAAAAAATAAAATAAAAAAATCCTTCAATCACCAAATTTCTTCTAAACTTCAAGGGAGTTGCAAATGCTCCACCTCCTTTACAAAAATAGTTCTGTCATGATACACACAGAATCCCTTCTTCTGGTTCTTTGTCTAAGCGACATGATTGAAAATGCAAAAAGTGGATTAAAAGGGAAACGTGAAATATAGTGTCATAGAAAAATAATAATATCTTTAATTTTAAAATCAGTTTTCTAGCCCCCTTCTCTAAGCGACATGACTGAAAATGCAAAAAGCGGATTAAAAGGGACACGTGAAATGTAGTGGCATAGAAAAATAATAATACTTTTTTATTTTAAAATCAGTTTTCTAGCCCCCTTTGGCTCTCTGGCACTTTCAGTGCTGCATCTCGCAGTGAGGATCATCTGGGACTGACTTTCTTCTGAGGCACCACTCCATTTCTGGGGCGGGTCCTTTCTTCCTGTCTTCATCTTTCTCTGTTTATAGACTGCATTTTTCTACATCTGCCTGCACCACTGTGGTCCTAATCCTTTTTACTCTAACACACTATCACATAATCACCATGTTCGTCTACTTAATATACATATTACAAACATCTGGCCCAAATTTCTGTGTTGCATAAACTGTATGTGCCAACTGCAATGGTGGGATAAGTGGTAACACACATCACCTGGAAGGGTATAATTCTAAAAGCTAGGATTAGGTATCTTTATCCCTGATCCAGTTGTCTTCCTACCTAGAGATCAGAGGTTATGTACTCGCAGTACACTGTTTGCTAACTACAAAAAGCAACTTGACAGCCTCCACCTACTTAATGGTTACATAAATGGACTGGACCAGGGCCAGTAACTGCTGTAATATTGAAGAGAACCTGCTAACTCACTTAAGAATGATCTCCGATAGTGGAACTCGTGTGTTTTGTCATTGTAGACATGCTTTATATTTTCAGGAAGGAGCTATCCAAAAAGTTGACTAGGTTGTTTTGTAAATGCATGACTCTTATTCATTTCAGTGATGGGGTTAGGTAGAAAAGGTGCTACTCTCACCTGAAGTCTTACTCGCTACAGTCATAATACTACCATTATGCAAAAGATATTAAGCAGGAGTTGAACATGGTAGCTACCAGCATTGCAAAGGAATTAAGCCAGTCTCCTTCAAGAAGACTGTGAGCTCATCTTACATCCAAACCAAAGTTTGGATTGCTTACACCAGGTTTTGGCTGTTACAGTCACAGGACATCACATGACCATTTATTCATGCAGGCCCATTTGCTTTATGGAAGCAAACAAGTAGTAAATCACCCTGCATGTCTTCCCATATCAGTGGACATGAAACTGCAACACTGTCAGACACATTTTTTGCATGTCTTCCCATATCAGTGGATATGAAACTGCAACACTGTCAGACACATTTTGGAGGCATTTCAGAACATTTCTAGTTGGCCAAACTACATGCCTAAGGGCACTATCTGACCAAAAGACCAGCTGCTATCTGCCACTCTCTCAACCAGTTGCAGACCAAAGGTAATTGAAACTGCCAAGTATTTTTATCTGAATTTTCATTCAGTAATAATTTTGCTGTTGTTCACTAGATTCACTCTTTCTCTGGCTGCTAAGTTTTCTACTAGCTGGATGTGTGCAAAAGGAAAATAAGGATCACAATAGATATCGACCACTCTTTGGTTTGTTCAGTGGCTATTTGGTGTTTCTGGGTCTTAATCCCCAATGAAGCAGAAATTATAGCAAAATAACTGCAAATGAAATTGTTCTATTAGACCACGTAGGTCTTTGCTGCTAAACCTGCTGACTGTGGTTAACATCATTCACCCGGTTCAGAGCTGCAGCACCAAGGTCACTGTGCTTATTACAGAAAGACTTATAGACCAGGCTAGTCTGATAAGAAAACCACAAATCTAGTAAATGTGCATGATAATCAGAGTAAGAATACTGCCAGTGTAACAGATGTTATTATATTCTGCCATCCTTACTCGTGCTAAGTGGTGGCTTATTCCAAGACCAGTCTCATTTTCTTCAGTGGGGCCACTTGCAAAGAAAGGAATTATTCACTGTGTAAATGGGTGGAAAAATCTACCCTAGCTAAGAGGCAGGAAGTATGATGAAAACACAAGCATTTGGCACCTCTTCAAATTGTCTTAGCAATAGGTCATCAGGAATAATGCACAGGTGTGAGATTGTTCTAATGGTTAAGTCCTGGTTTCTAACAAAAAAAAAAGTCATCGTGTACAGAAGGCCAGTGATGATTGTATCTCAGGTAGCTTTTCCAAAATTTTTGAAAACTGAGCCCCCTTCAGGAAAAGGAAACCAATTGTCCTTACAATCTGCAATCCCACCCAGGTGTTGTTAAAGACTAACATCTTAAGGATCCTCTCTGAATCCTGATCAGTGATAACCTACATATCACAGATACTAGAGTAAAATAAAAAAAGCAGTCATGAGACCTACAAGACATGCAACAGTAGGTAGGCATTAGTGATTATTGCTTATTAGGCTAATCATAGAGTCATAGAGGTTTAGGAGTGACAACAAGGATTATCTAGTCTAACCCCCCTGCCATGATACAGGATTTGTTATGTCTAAATATCCCAGAGAGATGGCGATACAGTCTCCTTTTGAAAAACTCCAGTGAAGGATCTTTCATGACCTCCCTTAGCAGCCTCTTCCACCATGTCCAGTTTGTACAGCTAGGAAGTTTTTCCTGAGATTTAATCTAAATCTGCTCTACTGTAGTTCAGGGGTGGGCAATAAAATGGCAGAAGTTCACCAGGGTTAGCCCCTGGGGGGCTGCTGCTGCTGTATTTACCTGTGCCTCTGCAGGTATGAACGACCACAGCTCCTGTTGGCTGCAGATCACCGTTCCTGGCCAATGGGAGTTGCGTGAAGCGGCGTGGACCAGGATGCAGCTCTGCCCAATGAAAAGTTGTTCTGACCCCCAAAATTGATCTTTTCCATTTCAAAATGTCAAAATGAAATAATATGACAATTTTGAAACTTTTTAAAAATGTATAAAACAGGAAATTAGTCAAACTGACCCTTTCCAATAACCAGTTTCAGTTTTGGCATTTTTGAATGAGAATTTTTTAATTGAAAAATTTCTCTTATGCCATAATAAGGATTTCCTCAGCCCATACACCAATGTCCCCTCTCCCTCCAAAGACATGTACTCTTGCAAAAGTACTAAGACCACCTTTGCTTATTGTTAAAAGAAGTGTACAACATGGGATCTGATAAGAAAGTATTGATTTGCCAACTATTTTCTTTTTCATGCCATTGGGTAACTCATTCAGCACTGTAAACTGTGTGAGACAGTAGCTAAGCACAGGTTTCAGCAGAAAGATGTGACTGCTGTGCCAATGCACAGTGCAGAGCAATACCATACAAATCAACAAATGACTAGTAATTGCATATGTACAACTTGGCCTGACAGCTACAGACAACACCTTGCACAGATTCTGCATTAGGAACAAAGTACTTCGATTATTTCACTGTTTTTCAGCCATATTAATTGTGATAGTACTTGGATTGCCTGACAAAATGATTTGACAAATTCAGTGAAGGTTAGGAACATGCTCTATTACTTATTCAGATACAGTTTGTCAAGGATGCATGAACAATAATGTACTGGGTGCATAGAAACATAATTTCTGTGATGCACAATGCTTTTCACTTACATCCGATTTAACAGTATTAAGCCACTGACAGAGAATGAAATTTCAAATCCAGAAATGCATCATATTTTGAAAACTCTTAAGATGCATAAAAAGCAAAGAATCATCAGTCCAAAGCTATTATTTCCAAGGCACTTAGTAAGATAATAGTCTGGCAGATGCACTGAATGCAGCTGTGGCTAAAAGCATTTCTGTTTGACAAATATTGTCAATACAAAAAAATTATAGTTCATTAAAGAGCATGCTGCACAATTTCCATAGCCAGCAACCAGGTGATAAAGTTAGACTCATGATGGTAGGATCTTCACTTCTTTGGTCTGCCACATCCCCGTTTACTAGACTTTATTTTTAGTTGCGGCCACAATTTGTTCATGCTTCTAAAAGAGTGGAAATGACATAGGTGTACACATTTTTCAAGGTGATGGGCCGTTGCTAATAGAAGTAGGGTCAGGTTCATGCTTACCATAGACTAAAAGTGCAGAATCCTGAATATTTTTTTGTTCCTGTGACTGCAGCAAATTTTCTCAGACAGGTTGAACCTTTCTATTCTAGGATTCTCTGGTCCGGCAACATCTGTGATCTGGCATGATTTTAATTAGCCAGATGTCCACTTATCATGGGTGTGGCCAAGTGTCCCACGGGCCCATAAAGTTTGTTTACAGCCACCAGTCCTGGCT